CCTGGCTGGCTACAGTGCATGGGGTTACAAAGAGTTAGACGCAACTGAGCACAGAGACTATCTCTGAGCCCCTGTTCCTCCTAAGAGAGCCTGGATAGCTCAGTCGGTAGAGCATCAGACTTTTAATCTGAGAGTCCAGGTTTCAAGTCCCTGTTCAGGCTTGAAAGTGAAAGTCCTTCAATCTTTACAACCCCATGGAGTCCTGAATTCTCCAGGTTAGAATACTGGAGTAGGTATCCTTTCCCTTTGGGCATAGACTTTTAGGCCCCTCAGTGGCTCAATGGTAAAGAATCTCCTGCAGGTTTGATCCCTGGGTCCAGAAGATACCCTGGAGAAAAGAATGGAAATCCACTTCAGTATTCTTGCCTGGAGAATCCCAAGGACAGAAGAGCCTGGTGGGCTACAGTCCCTAGGATCACAAACAGTTGGACACAACTGGAGCAACTTAGTGTAACCAACATGAAGTATTTTTTATGGAAGAAAGAGGGGTGTACAATAGATATTGGGTTGGCAGTTAAAAGCATTTGCAACAACGGCATTTTCCCCTTCCTTCAGAAATCACACAGAAACAAAACAAAACAAAAATAGAGAGAAAAACATTTATGAATTATGCAAATTTGACATTTAACCCTGAGTCATGTGAAAAACTATCCAATATAATCAGAGCATAACCCTAAACATTACCCAGTATTGACCAAAGATAAAGTCCTACCAGAAGAGGAAAATTTTAAAGTAACAGGTGCATGTTAAGGCGGGGGGGGGGGGGGGGGGGGCGGGGAAATACTGTTTATTTGAAACAGAAAAGATACGATGGCTAGAAGAAAGAGACTGCCTGTATAGGAATCTATGCAATAACATATGAACTCATGAAACAACATGCTTTCTGTAAAAGTACACAAAAACTAACAGGATTTATGGAGAAAATAAAGTTGTAGGGTAGATTATTTAAATTCTACACAGCTTTGTCAGGAGACATTAATAAAACTACAGAAATTCCAGTAAAGTTACAAATATAGACAAAAAAACATATTAGACAAAAAATATTAAGTATTTTTAAAATATTAAGTATTCTAAGGATTTTTACTTTAGAAAAGTGATGGTGTCTTGTTAGAGGTATAAGGAAAGAGTGAGGCAAGGGTCGAGGGATATCATCATCATCAGTTCAGATAGACAAGCATTTGCACACTTTCCAAGAAATGTAGTGAAACTACAAAATATATAATGACAGTTCTGGCTCATTATCTTGTTTTTATTTTTTGACACTTGCTTATAAGAAGATATTTAGTTTTTCCTGCTTAAATATTTTCCTTCTTTCATAAAGAAGCTATTTTATGGTTCCAAATAGGACTTTATGCCATGAAGTGAAATCCTGCTGCATTCTACATTGTAGTCAAGTTATCGTCTATCTACTGCAACTACTTCTCTATCACGCTTAGAGCAGAAGATAACTGGGAAGTAAAAAGCTCTTGTGGGGTAGATTGTTGAACTGTATCATCATCTTACAGACTTCCATTTGAGCCTCAGCACCTAACTGTTGGCGCTCTTGTATACAGAGCCTCTGAATGGGACTGCAGCAATTCCTCAATATCTCCACTCAGCTTTTTCAAATCCAACCTCCTCTGCAAGAGCAATATAACTTGCTTTGATTTAGTTGAGCTCTTCTGAAGGTTTGAAGCCTTTAGAATCATAAATTAAATCAGGGAGAAAAATCTTTGTTTTTTTTTGACTGTGTCAAGTCTTAATTGTGGCACTCACGCTCTCTGTTGCAGCATGCTGGCTTCTCTCTAGTTGTGGTGTGCCAGCTCCAGGGCACATGGGCTCTGCAGTTTGCTGAAAGCGAGTTCTCTAGTTGAGGCCCACAGACTTTGCTGCCCCGTGCATGTGAGATGCTAGTTCCCTGACCAGGGATCAAACCAATGTCCCCTTCATTAGAAGGTGGTTTCTCAACCAATGGACCACCAGGGAAGTCCCAATCAGGGAGAATCATACCACACCCCGTGCAAGTAGGCTTTTGGGACATCATTTCAAGCCTCTGTAATAATATCAATTGCAAGTTTAATGCTTTATCAATTCCAGAATTCAAAAACTGTGTGTGCAACATCACCTGGTATAGATGCAATAAACAGCTTGAATGTTATCCTTAAATAATAAGCTTTTTTTTTTTAAATAATGAGCTTTAATGACTGTGATCACACCCTGATTAGAGGGCTGAAGAAAAGTAGTTGTATTAGGAGGTAAAAATATGATTTTAATAGTTGAAGAAAGTTCATCAACTGTTGGTGGATGGCTTAGTGTATTACTGAGAATTACAAGAATTTAGAAAGAAAAGTTGTTTGTTCCTCTTGCAATATTTATAAAAATCATCTACAAAACATCACCTAGAAGATTAGTAAATATCTGCCCTGCCATCCAACCTTTCTTGCAGACTTATAGGAGATACTCAGGCTAATCTTTACAATTCTTTTTAAAGCTTGTAGGTTGGCAGAATAATAAATTACACAGGCTTTAGATTTAAATTTCTACTGGCATTCGCACCCAGCATCACCATCTTAAATACTGGACCTTCTGTTTCCCCCTTCAAGATACAGGCCCTTGAGACCACTTGCTCCAACAGAGAGTGGTTTCATTAAAATTAAAAACCTGATCTAGGTTATGTACTTCTTTGTCAGTCAAATTTCTTAACACTGGGGGAAATGTCTTTTCAGCTTCTCTGAACTCACAGCTTCACCAGAGAGCTAAATATTGTGGAAATCACAGCAGTTCTTCAAGCCACTAAACCAGCCAATATTTGCACTAAATGAATGCACTTCTGCACTTTCTTCTTAAGGTCATATATATTGCTAATGTCTTCTCTTTAATTTTAATAAAGGCTACTTCTCATTGCTTCTTTCTTTGGTATAAAATTCAAACAAATGTTCCATTTCTTCCATTTCCTTATGCCTTGTTCTAACAAATTTTGTAGCAATTGCAGCTGTTCCAGCTAGACAACTTTCTTTTATTTTCCCAGCATTGTCTCTAATTGTTCGTAAAGTTGACTCTCCTATTTCAGTTGCATGTTTTTTCATTTCTTTCAAAACATTTTATAATTTTGAGCTTTTTTAAAATTGTTAAATCTTTTCTTTCATGCTCACTAGCAGAAATTTTATCACCAGCACGCTTCTGTGGCACTTGCAAACCCTCCTTGCTTGCTCATTTTCTGGAACACAAAAAAATTTTAGCAAAAATTGCACCAAGATGGGAGGAACTATGCATATAAGCACTTCTAAAACAGAGACTGGGGCCAAGAGGAAGGATATGGAGGTGAACGGGCAGTATGTACAGTACTGTATGTCTTCACAACTTGCTGCACTTGGCTATAGTCATATACTTTGATTCAGCTGCTCTTACTTAGGTGGCCCAAAACATCAACTTTTGGGGAAAACTCATACATGAGCCAACACAATTTCAGCATTACGTTGACTTATTTCCCTATTTATCAGTCTCATATGAAAGATTCTGCATTCCAGAAAAACATGTTAACATCATAAAACATTAAAACGTTTTATACATACATAAAATGCTCATATTAAAAAAAGAGTTCAGATAAATGTGTGGATAGTGTCATATAGAAATGGGAATGTTTGGCAATACCCATAATATTCTAAAATTACTGTCATAAAAAGCAAATATATGCTCTTAAAATAATTTCTAGTGTGATGGACCTCATATACCAACAACTGCAAGTACTGAAAAGTATCTAGAAAATGATGCAATTAATCTCTTCATTGTACAGATGAAGTCATCAAGGTCCAGAGAAGGTGTGTACCTGATGTTACACAGCTAATTAGTGACAGAGCCTGTTATAGAACCCAGATCTTACGATTCACCATTTCCTGATATTTCCATTAAATGAGGCTACTTCTCTATTTGTTTCTCCTAGAAGGCATTCCTTATATTCTTACACTGGTTTGCTTCCATATGTGGTCAAAGTAGTGGGCATCATAAGAAGAGATAGCTACTTTTATTTCACAGTCACTAAATAAAATATACTTTATATTCACAAGCACTAGACCAAGGTTTCCCATTTGGTTTCCCATTTCCTTATTAGCATCAGCTACCACCAACATAAAAATTGTTATCCCGGAAGCATGAATCTATTCATCTACACTAGTGATCAAATGATAATGCCCAGAATCCAAATTTGCAGCAGTGTGAAGTGAACCCCACTCACTCCACCTTGGACCCACAGCACTCAAATTCTCCACAATATATGGCACCTCCAATTTCTCACCTGCTGTCTAGGTTCATCAAGCTCCCTCTCCAAATCCTCCAGCACAGTCACCACCTCCTCGCCACTCTCAGGATGATGCTCCCGCACCCAAGCCTGGAGCTCCTCGGGCAGGATGGTCAGGAGCTGTTCCAGTACCAACAATTCCAGGATCTGCTCCTTTGTGTGTGTCTCTGGGCTCAACCACAGACGGCAAAGTTCCCTGAGTTGGCTCAGAGCCTCCCTGGGTCCGGGAGTCTCCTGATAGCAGAACTGCCGGAAACGTTGACGAGAGAGTTCCCTGCTATAAGACAAATTCTTCTGTAGGAAGGATGCCTGATCCCAAATAGGGTCTTCTTCTTTGACCTTTATTTTGATAATCTCCCCTTGTTCCTCTGAACCCTGCTCAGCCAAGGCTGGGATGGCCCCGGGGGCTGCCGCCATCCTTAGCTTGGCCTTGCTTCAACAAGGATCTAAGAAGATGCGTGATTTTACTTGAGGTCCCCACCCAGTCTTTGGTCAGGAAAGTTTTTGTTAATAAGAAAATTCTGTTGACACAGACAAATTACAGACGCAGCTAAAAATTTTTTTGTTTAGGTGAAAACAGGGCAGTTACTTGAGCAATTCCATTGAAAGTGAAGCCATTCTCTAACAAGACAGGAAATTGTGAGTTCGGAACTATTCACTAAAGCTCCAGGACCACAAATTGAGCGGCAGCTTGCTTGCGAGACAGAAAACTGAGGAAACTCTGGCCCTAAAGCCTGGGTCTACTATCCCCAAACAAGAAAACCACACAGGTCTCTCTGAAACCGGCGCTCCGAGGCCCGGGCCCGGGATGCGGGGAGAGGGAGAGGAGCTCTTCCACACCGCTAGCCGTCGGCAGGGAAGGCCCGATTGTCGCCGCGCAGACGCCCTCTCCCCTCCGCCACTTCCCCCTCAAGGGAGCTCGGACCCTCTCGAGCCAAGCCAAAGAAGTGGGCAACAAGCGACACTCCCGGGCGAGGTGGGGGCTCGTCTCACACACCCGCCTCAGGCCCCAGCTCGTTCCAGCCAGGCCCCGGGAGCTGCGCTCACTTCCGGTCCGCTCTAGGATTCCAGGTGGTGCAACCAGCTCGGTGGTCGTGGTAAATCCTAGCGGTGAACACGAGGTCACAAGTGCTCTGTAAATTGTACAGAGACTTAACTCCCGAGTTACCCAGTTACCGGTGAAGAGTTTCACTGTGTGAGTAGAGCTAATGAGGGGGCTGCACTGGGTTTTCTTGTCACGGTGATAATCTGTCGCTGCACTAAGACTTACAGCACTCATCGCCGCGTCCTAAAACAAAAGCAGAAGAGCATCTCTGCGCGATTGCCCAGTTAGCGAATTCGTAGGCTCCACCTGGCCTTTTCACGTTAGATGTGGGCCACTAACTTCTTTCCTAGTAGCGGTAATTTAGACTTGAAAAGAAAATGTAAAATCTAGCTCCTTCTTTCCCTTTTATATATTGGGGGGAGGGGGGAGGATCAAGATCCATATAGTGAGCTTACCCCCTAATGACAGCAGGAGCTATTCCTGCTACTTCTGGCTCTGTGAGGCATGCTGTAAACAATCCTGGAAAACTGGCCCCGGAAAACTAACAAGGAAAAATCTGGACGTGTTTTCAGAGTCTAAGAAGTCGCTAGAGTTGGGGGACCAGAACATTCATACCTGGCTCAAACTCCTTCAGACAGTATGCCTGACAGGCAAGGTATTCAAAGAATGGATGTGGGTGAACAAAGAGAAAACTCTGTTTCTAGAGGAAGAGGCTGAAGCACCGGTGGATTCTGCTGGAGGTCTAAAAGCCCAAGAATCATTGCAAGTGCCAGTCTAATTCCTCTTCCTCTTCCCCACCCAGTCTGCCCCCCCTGGCCTTGTGAAGAGCACTCAATAAATAATAGATGCCTGAGGAATATTTGTTGAATTGCTGAATGTCTTCCTTTTCCCATTCTTTTTCGTTCGACTTTGATCTCTATTAGTTACTCACATTTTGGCATTTCTGATTCAAGAGACTTTCAAGAATCAGAACGTTTCTTTTGGATATCTCGAAATCAAAACTTCTTACCCTTGAGATCTGTAAATGTCCTGAGTAGGTCGCTAAAGTCGATGAAATTGTATATAAAATTTTGTCCATGTGCCCAAGTCATCAGAACCTCAAAAGAACTGAGATGGGGTTTCTCATTTTCCTAGTCACTATTAATATGTTGCACTTACCTTTTGTGGTTTCTCCCTAACTGTTAATCCTTTGCAGTCAGGGGTTCTGTCTTCTACTCTTTCATTTTCTGCACGCTCTGATCACCACCATACTGAGCACAGTAGTAGGCAGTCAGCACGGAGTAAACACAACTTCCAAGTCCTCTACTGGAGGGCATTAAGTTTTTTTGGTACATTTTCCACTTTTAATTACTGAAGTAATTATATCTCACAAAAGGGAACAGGATAAAATCTTAACCTATTTAAAAATGAATTTATAAATTCACAAACAATGACAAAAATTGGGTCATGCCATATGTTACATTTCAGCAAATTGCTGAGTTTTGCTTACTAGTCTTAGACTAAATCTCTCCAGAAACTGCCAAGCCAACATGTGTACCTATATCAATCCCATTCTTTTTAGTATATTATTTCTATTGAATGGATAGGCATATTTTCAAGTTTCTGATATTAAAAAATATTAGTGAGCATCTTTAGATGTATTTTTAAATTTTTAATGTTTTTATTTCTGTAGAATGGCTTTTTTAAAGAAAAATTGCTGAGTAGATTATTCTTATAGATACTGCCAAATTTCTCCTTGGAGGGGTATTTATCATGTTTCACTAAGGGCGTCAAGACCCCTCTCTAAGGCCCTGGAAGGTGTCGCCCTGTATGAACATATATTTTTGTAAAACTTGTAAAAGTATATTGTAATGGAAATTAGTTAAGACTGCAGCCTCTTTTTCCTAGTTTCGCTCAGATACATCAAATATGTCTTGGAATAACTGTATCTAATTTTGTGTTGAGAATGTCTATTCTTTCTCTTTAAAAAAAAGAGCCTTGTGTTCTTAAGAAACTCGTGTAAGTTTCAAACTTCACAAAACCTGGATCCGCCTCTGCTGGTCTTCTGAAAGTTAATTTATGCTCCCAACCGAAGCGGAAGAAAGAGTGCGCGAATTGTCTCGAATTATATTGTGCCCATTGCCTCTTCCCCAGTAGCAATAAAGCATCCGATTTCATTATCAGCATGGACTCAATGAAACTTGATCTAACTGGCCTGGGTTGAAGCTACTGAAAACCTACTGTGGAGGGAATATTTAACTATAATTGCGGAGGGGATCTTATCTTCTCGGTTGGTCCCATGGTGTAATGGTCAGCACTCTGGACTTTGAATCCAGCAATCCGAGTTCGAATCTCGGTGGGACCTCAGAGGAACATTTTATAGTTCGCATCGGAACTGGAGAAAAAGCATTCGCTTGCTTCACACAAATGTGGTCGTACTGGATTCTCCTACTCTGTTCGAACCAAAGTACCGAATACTTCGCCTGGGAAGTAACAGATTCTTTAAAATCAAGCTTTCCAAGCGCACAAAGTTCAACAGCAGGGAGGTTGAGTAGAAATGGTGGCTGGTGGCTGTTCCCAGTAACCTCACGAACTTCTCAGGGGCCTGGCGGAACGGCTCCCGCAGCTCCAATTCCTTGATGCAGACAGCATCTCAAAATCCCCGAGGTACGAAGGCCTCCTCGCCGCCGCGCGGGCTCCTAAGCCGAAAACCCCGCGGACCAAGGAGCTGAGCTTCCGCCCGGACACACACGCCTGGAGTCACTTCTTATCCCCTCTTCCCTTTCCCATTTCACCCAGACAGTTCACTCCCGTCTCTCTTCTCTCATTCCTTCTTCTCGTTCCCATCATCCACCCCAAATGCAAAGCCGGATGGGAAACTCCTCGAAAACTTGCAGCCGCGGAGAGCGCAGTCCCTGCAGTCCAATCAGAAAAGCTAACCTCCCGACCGGTCGCTGGCCTCACTGCGCCGGGAGCAGGCTTTCCCGATTCATTACAAAACGCCCGCGTTTGAAGAGAGTTAAGTGCACAGAAAGTGTTGCACGCGGTGGAGGGGCCCGGAGAGGAGCATAAATTCGGGTGAGGGAGGCTGCCGGTGAGTGAAACGCCCTTTGCCTTCTCGGTTCTCCAGGTGTCTTCCGTCTTCCGCCACTTGGACCCGCGGGGAATGGGGCGAAGCTCTGATCCAGACCTCTTCGGAAAGTGCCAAACATCCGCAGCCGAAGCACCCAGGAAACAGTTCCCCCGAGCAGGGGCTCAGGGACAAGAAATGTCCCCCTGAAAAAGTACTCCGTGTGTAGACCGGAATCAAGTTGGAGACAAAGCTAATCAAATTTGGAAAGTCCGGTTAGCTCTGGGAAGACCCTTACTGTGCCGTTAGAGAGAGAAAGGTGGGCATGTGGGAAGAAAGGTTTCCTTCAGCTGGGCTGGAACTAAATTAGGCGAAGACAGGTGTCTATGTTCTATAGAAATTAACCTCTCCTATGTCATAAGAGGCAACCCTTAAATCCAGTGATCTACTTTCAGGTTCCTTCTTGCTTCCACATTCTAATGTTCTCATATGTTGCAACCTACCGCACAGTTGCACTTATTTCACACGCTAGCAAAATAATGCTCAAAATTCTCCAAACTAGGCTTCAAAGGTAAGTGAACCGAGAACTTCCAGATGTTCAAACTGGATTTAGAAAAGGCAGAGGAACCAGAGATCAAATTGCTAACGTCCGTTGGATCATCGAAAAGCAAGAGAATTCCAGAAAAACACCTACTTTTGCTTCATTGACTACACTAAAGCCTTTGATTGTGTGGATCACAGCAAACTGTGGCAAATTCTTCAAGAGATGGGAATACCAGGCCACCTTACCTGCCTCCTGAGAAATCTGTATGCAGGTCAAGAAGCAACCGTTAGAACTGGACATGGAAAAATAGACTGGTTCCAAATAGGGAAAGGAGTATGTCAAGGCTGTATATTGTCACCCTGCTTACTTAACCTCTATGCAGAGTACATCATGAGAAATGCTGGGCTGGATGAAGCCCGAGCTGGAATCAAGTTTGCCAGGAGAAGTATCCATAGCTTCAGATATGCAGATGACACCACCCTTATGGCAGAAAGCCAAGAGGAACTAAAGAACCTCTTGATAAAGGTGAAAGAGGAGAGTGGAAAAGTAGGCTTAAAACTCAACATTCAGAAAACTAAGATCATGGCATCTGGTACCATCACTTCATGGCAAATAGATAGGGAAACAGTGGAAACAATGACAGACTTTATTTTCAGCAGCAAAATCACTGCTGATAGTGACTGCAGCCATGAAATTAAAAAACACTCCTTGGAAGAAAAGCTATGACCAACCTAGACAGCCTATTAAAAAGCAGAGACATTACTTTGCCAACAAAGGCCCATCTAGTCAAAGCTGTGATTTTTCCAGTTAGTCATGTATGGATGTGAGAGTTGGACCGTAAAGAAGGCTGAGTGCTGAAGAATTGAGGTTTTTGAACTGTGGTATTGGAGAAGATGCTTGAGAGTCCCTTGGACCGCAAGGAGATCAAATCAGTCAATCCTAAAGGAAATCAATCCTGAACATTCATTGGAAGGACTGATGCTGAAGCTGAAACTCCAATACTTTGGCCACCTGATGCAAAGATCTGACTCACTGGAAAAGGCCCTAATGCTGGGAAAGATTGAAGGCAGGAGGAGAAGGGAATGACAGAGGACAAGATGGTTGGAGAGCATCATCAACTCAATGCACATGAGTTTGAGCAAGCTCCAGGAGATGGTGAAGGACAGAGAATCCCAGCGTGCTGCAGTCTACAGGGTTGCAAAGAGTCAGACATGACTGAGTACCTGAACAACAATATGTAACAAAAAAATTAAATCAAGTCCTACTCTCACCAATTACAATAACTCACTGAACTATAAATATTTCATTGACTCATTATGAATTACTGTTGGTTATGCAAGACTCTGTAACAAATTAAGGTTACTAAGTTTATGAAAACAGATTCTTTTGTTTCCCACTATGGACACTTGACTGTACATCCACTTATATGATCTGTAATGATGCTAATTACAGGGGGAAATAACATTTCTGCTTGGGGTGGTGCCTTAGCAGGCATGCTCCTGTTTTCTTTCCACCTTGTTGATGCTAATATGATCAAAAGTACCCCCCTAAAATATTCTCTCCTGAATTGGCCTGATAACCTTCCCCATGTAAGAAGTTTCTAACTGCAGCCCCTCCAACCTCTTCCATTTCTATCCTGTG